GGGGGGGGGGGGGGGGGGTTGGATGGTGACTAAGATTACAGGAATAGAGAAAAGGAAAGAACAGACAGAGAGGGGCGGTAGGGAGGGAGGGTTTGGACACCCTCTGTTGGTCTGTGGCTCCTCCCAGTTGAAAATGTACACTTGCCATAAGTATGTCAGGGAAAACTCTTGGTCAGAAAACATTCTTGCACACATACAACATTGACTGATCTTTGACCTTAATTATGGTCGCGTTTAAGGACAAGCGGGCTAACCCAGATTTCTAGGGTTTCCAGAAATCTTGACCTACACCAAAAGTGGGCATTGCCCTACCTATAGGAGAAGTTTGGTTTCATTGGTGTGATATATTAAAATTTGTTTGGTTATAGAGAAAACTCTCCTTGTCTTTTAAAGAAACTGAATAAGGGGCAAAAGTTTACCTTTGACTTTCTCAAAACAGCATTTTTCGGGATAGCCCCCCTTGTGCTTAAAAGCGACCAATTAACAGGGAAGATAGGTGGATTCTGTTTGCATCTTTACGAGGTTGAATGAACGGAATCAAAAATGTAAAAACAGTGAATACCAACACTCATAAAACACTGACCAAAAATTATGACTACAACAAATTTATTTACAAGCAAACGTAATGTATGGCGAAGTGAAAGGTAAACAGCTCCACACGGATACCCAAAGACATACATATCAAAACCTGGGAGTGTCCCATCTGTCAGAGTTGTACATCCGGGCTGATATACCGACTGTTGGTTTTTGTACAAATACTCTCCAAATATAAGGTACAAAGTTACCACTGATACTTCTGAATCACACACTGCACTTGCAGGCAACAGAAGAAGACCTCTGTCAGTCGTACGCTGATGGGGAAGTTAAAAATGGACAAGTATGTTTCCATACAGAGGATTTTTGTGTTTAGATTACATGATATCAAACAAAACTAAGAGTGCAATAAATGAGTACTGTAAAAACATTTTATATGTTTTGCAAAGGTGTATATAAAATAGGATCTACATCATAAAACGAAATGGAATGAAAAACAAAAGCAATTAATATGATTCCACCATGTGGCAACACGTATGATTCTACTCAATTGAACACGACTTGAATATGTTGTAGAGTCATATAAAAAACCCAGACAAATTAAATGTGCAGCATTTTGAAAGAAGTGCACTGGACGCTGACACGAGGCCACTGAAAGTAGGTCACGTCTGTCACTGTAAGGCACCACAAAAGATAGGTGGAAAAAAAACCAACAACACGCACATAGGAAAACTGATCAGCCATACTGTATATAATGGTGGTGTACAAGAGCTGCCACTTCATCCAAACGTGCAAGTGACCACCGTCTCGCTGAATATCCAAATCTCATTGTTTGAGGTAGACAGACAGCTCTCGAAGAATTCCCCTCTCTTTCATTACAACGTCACGGCACTCGTTAGGTTTGGACAAGCTGCATCGTGATCACACCTTACAACAAGACCCAACGCTACATGAAAACGATATAGATTATGTCAACAGAAAGTAAGCCATTCTTTTGTTCAAGGCAGTTGATTGGTCCACTTCCATAGAGTAAACAACCTGCAGCCATATTGACAACAAAAGAACGTCAGAATCTCATCTGGAAGAACAAAGTTCTTCACACTGGCAAAAGAGAACACAAAAACAAACTGACCTCTCATCCTATTCTTCTGATTTAAAAAATCTATGCTGCCCTCGAAAAATATATTTACATGTTTTGAATAAATCGAAGGAAGTAACTTAAGGCATACAACCACTATCAAATCATTTGCTCCTTCTGTCACAATTACTCTGACCTCCCAAAGTTGTTTGCTATTGGCTAGCAGCCCCTGTGAAGGTCACACATATTACGAGGAAAAAGATCTGTTGTTCCCTGAGGGCAACACGACCCCGTGGAAAGACAACATGACGACATGAGGTGTGTCGAATCACGAAACAGAACGACAGACAATTCCTGGGACAAGACAAACCGTAGGGGACCGTGTTACTCTGTACAGCAGGCAAACAAACTAATGGTCCTACCAAAACAAATAAAAAAAAAATTATCTTTAAAAATGTTTTAACTTCTCTTCAAAATGTTCACAATGAGCACTTTCCTTCTTCATTAACGTTGTTGTTCACGTTTCCAGATCATATCACGACACAGGAGAAACAAGACGCTACAAAATATGATGAAGGAAAACAAAAAATAACTCAGCATGCATTTATTTCCCCTTTCTCATTAGTGATCATATTATTTGGGAAGCAAACGTCTTCAGTCACCTCCAACAAAATGTAGAAAGATCTCAGTCACACACCTCTCTGATGGAAAGTGAGGAACATTTCAACACCACAACTCCGAGAGCTCCCCCCCCAGACTATGAATGTTCACCTAGTGCCTTCATAGAGTGGGGGGCATCTACAACGAAGTCTGCTTCCACCGAAATCTGCAAAGAAATTTTCTTTTCTTGCAGTTAACCGTGTTTGATTTAAGAAGACTCCACTGCATGTGTGATAGTTTTTATTAATGTAAAGTGCATTGAGCATTTTTTAGAAAATGGAAATGCACAGCATTAATGCCATTTATTATTATTATTATTATCATTATTATTATTATTATGTTTATGGTTGCGCAATTGTTCATCATAACATGTATGGCTCTTTGTCCTATACGACAAACAGATAGGTTCTAGAGGTACGAGAGTTTATGAGCATTGGCTCAGTATGCCTTTTACCTTCTTCTTCCTTAGCTTCTCTCACCTGACCGACTGTTTTCTGAAGTGATGGGGCCAGAGCTAGAGACAATACCACGACAGAGGGTCATATCAACAGAGGGTCATATCGTTGTACATTGGATATATATATATATAGAGAGAGTATCCTCTACCTTATCACAGAGAAAAGAACGTTTTTCCTTTCAGTTTCATTACATCATTAAAGAAACAAACTTTTGGAACTTTCCACTGGACAATCCACCAGCAACAAATCTCTACAAACTTAACTCTGTGAGCAGAAAGGCAGAGCAGATTACCGACGACAGTGAACACTGCCACAGTTGATTGATGTAGGACTACTGAAACAGTATGGAGGACAGTAGGCTACCTTGGAAAACACAATAGTAGATTAGTATCTTTCTTTTGAATATTTACTTTTCTGTATCCATGAGAGAAGAGCAGTACATTGTGCTGTGTTTCCGTTCTCAGCACGGCTCCTTTCACCTTGATCATCACTACTTTCTTTCCTGATTTCACTGAGACAGAATGAGACAGAGTGAGACAGAATGAGACAGAATGAGACAGAATGAGACAGACAAACTGGGCAGTAGACCTAGCTCTGCACATACTACTGGGAACAATTCACCAAGAAACTCTTTTACTGTTTTCCCTTCATTCACACTTACAAATGCGCAACGATTTATTCTCTTTTGGGCCCCCAAACAAATGTACAAATAATCTACTGTCTATACCTTGACCATCAATAATTTATTTCTAGAGGCACCAACCGCCCATGTCCAGGTTCTGTTTCAGCCTTTCTACTCTATGGGCTATCAATGTAAATCTCTCCACACCCAGAAGACAAGCGAACCTCTGGGAAGGAAATTTCTCACGAAAGTCACAAAGGGAAAAAAGCAGCAAGTGTTGTCCTGAATTTCCAGCACCTTCTTCTTGCCTATAAGTTTGTAAATTATCTGAGCCACCCTCTTCTTGCCTATAAGTTTGTAAATTATCTGAGCCACCCTCTTCTTGCCTATAAGTTTGTAAATTATCTGAGCCACCCTCTTCTTGCCTATAAGTTTGTAAATTATCTGAGCCACCCTCTTCTTGCCTATAAGTTTGTAAATTATCTGAGCCACCCTCTTCTTGCCTATAAGTTTGTAAATTATCTGAGCCACCTTCATCTTGCCTATAAGTTTGTAAATTATCTGAGCCACTGTCATCTTGCCTATAAGTTTGTAAATTATCTGAGCCACCCTCTTCTTGCCTATAAGTTTGTAAATTATCTGAGGCATCTTCATCTTGCCTATAAGTTTGTAAATTATCTGAGCCACCCTCTTCTTGCCTATAAGTTTGTAAATTATCTGAGGCATCTTCATCTTGCCTATAAGTTTGTAAATTATCTGAGCCACCCTCTTCTTGCCTATAAGTTTGTAAATTATCTGAGCCACCCTCTTCTTGCCTATAAGTTTGTAAATTATCTGAGGCATCTTCATCTTGCCTATAAGTTTGTAAATTATCTGAGCCACCCTCTTCTTGCCTATAAGTTTGTAAATTATCTGAGCCACCCTCTTCTTGCCTATAAGTTTGTAAATTATCTGAGCCATCTTCATCTTGCCTATAAGTTTGTAAATTATCTGAGCCACCCTCTTCTTGCCTATAAGTTTGTAAATGTGAGGCAAACAAAATAAACTGGAGCAGTTATTTTGCTATCCCTGTCCGCTCTGGAACTCCGGAATATCTTTGGGGACTCGCAGACATACTTCAAGAAACCTGATTAGTGAAACCAGTAAGATCAAATGTTGGGAAACACCATGGAAGAGAATGTTACGACAAAGTTAACGAAGGCATCCCGGCGACAACAGGGGACGGAAAAACAAGGAAGAAAACTGTGATCGATAAAATGCCCACCAGACAGCAGACAACAGACAACAGACAGCAGACAACAGACAGCAGACAGCAGACAACAGACAGCAGACAACAGACAGCAGACAGCAGACAGCAGAGACAGCAGACAGCAGACATAACACATGGACACTTGAGGCTCAAACTATGGCTGCTCTCACCCAGCTGGTGGAAAAAATTCTTCCAAAATTGTTTCACCAAAGCACACAAGAAAAAGGCTTCCTTCTTTACAGTGAAAAGATGGAAGTGGTACAAGATGTGAATACACTACAGGGAAGAGTCTGGGATCAGAATGAATGATTGAGTGAATGTGTAGGCAGTCTTTAAAATCTTACAAGCAAATATCCTTATATTCAATTGTTCACTTGTGTCAGGAAAAAAAAACATCTTTAAAGTGTAGACAGCATGTGGAAAGTGAAGAGATGAAGTGAAGACTGTTCATTATTCCAGAAGGTCACAGTGACTGTAAAACTCAAGTAAATCTACAGGCACATGTCGCGGTGTGGGGAATCAGGCGCTCATCAATTTGGGGAATTATGGAGTTATGCTATTAAACGAAAGCTTGTCTGTCTTTCTTGAACTTGGTTAAAAAAACCCTTGATCTATCTTCTACAGCAGCAGAGTTGTGCATGATTCAACAAAGCAGCCGTTTCCCAGTGGCACCTCGTGCTACAGGTGAGTGCTGGCACTTGCTCAACAAACTAACATATCTTTGACTTTAAACAACATTTTTCCATAAAATTCATCTGAAAAGGTCTTGAATGTATGGAAGGAAGGTTTCTGGGAAAAAGAAATTGCCCCAACATTTGGAAACGTACGGATTTCTCCATTCCCGAAAAGTTGATGAGAGCCCGATTCCACTGTTACGACCCACACACTCACACATAATATATATAATGTTATATCCTATTTGTGCTTTTCATACTCACCCTCATACACATGCACATGTATACATATCCATATACATATACAGGATGTTTATAAAGTGACTCTATCGTAAGGCTGAGAGTAACCTCATTTGTCGATGGCACATATTCTGGTCACCCAAACGTCTTTGGCCTGACTCTACCATAACTTCACAGACACCCTCTATATATATATACATTTGTTTTGTTTTGTTTCGTGATCATACAATGACAAACCAAACCAATGTGAGTGCCAAAGTTTTTTGAGCAGAAAAGGGAGGATTCAGTCGTGACATTGGCTTGAGCAGAGCTTGCAGCAACAAATAATTGCAAATGTTGGGTACAGAAAGTGAGTACATTGCAAATTGCTTTTGAATATCTGTCTTCAAAGGCACAGAAGCGTGAGGTTTACAGCGTATATATAATATACATATTATTGAGAATGTCACTGATAAGACAGACGGTCAAGCATAGAGATTATCAGACGGTCTCGCAGACATGAATTTTCCATGTAAAACCAGCAGAGCACTACTGCCTTACAGAATGCAACAAATTAACTAAAAAAACATAACATCCTCTCCAAAAAAACATAACATCCTCTCCAAGACAAAAATCTCACATCAGAAACAGTATGCCACTCCCTAGGAGTGATTTTTAGAAACAGAAAAAATCCCATACTTTAAACAACTCAGCCGGTGCAAGGATTTAAACTCAGGACCATTACATTCCCCGTGTTCACACCATACTTTCATCCTCTGCAAGCCAAGCCATGTCTGACACTGAAACAAAGCAGAACTGGACCCCCCCCCCCTCCCCTTACCCCCAACCCCCTAATGATACATACCATGACAGCGTAGATATCTGAACCTGCGTAGAGCGTCGGAGCGAGTATAAAGAACAGCAGCACACTGACAAGTTGGCAACATCAAGACAACTGACACCGGGTGGGGGGGGGGGGGGGATGGGGATGGGAGGGGGGAGGGCCCAGTCTGGGCACTAGGGGGGCAGGGCTGCAGTTCCCACAGAGTTCTGAAGGACACAATGACATCCTCGTCCAACCACTCACAGAGGAACATCGTAGCGTAACAAACAGGCGACTCTCACACGCACATTTATCAGCGGTGCCCATTGGTATCATTAGTTCGGTTCCGTTTGGTTTTGTCTGTTTGGGGCTAGCCAAATTGTCCTCCGTGGGAAGGGCAAATCTGACAAAACTGACAAAGTCGATGATGACCGTCAACAACAAACACGTGTGTTTTCAAGGCCATGCGTCGGGCCATCAGTTTGGGCAGCGGTCTATTGAAAATCTAAAATGTGGACTGAAGCCACCGGAAACTGAACCGAACCAATCCTCCCACGAGCACCGCCTGTTAGGTGCACAGAAACTGTTCTACAAAACATTTATAATAGAAGTGCTAGTGTAAGCTATGACATTTATCAGCTTGCACAGACAAAGTCCAACAAAACTTTGGTCGTCTACAGAGAGCACACAGCAAGCACTTGGTGATGTAGACTTTCCCACCAGGAACTCAGAAGTATATCTGGTCGCTTTTAAAGACAAGCGGGCTAACCCAGATTTCAGGGGTTTCCAGAAATCTTGACCTACACCAAAAGCGGGCATTGTCCTACCTATAGGAGAAGTTTAGTTTCATTTGGTGTGTATATTTGTTTGGTTATAGAGAAAACTCTCCTAGTCTTTTATTGGCAGAAATCTCTTCCCCCTCTCTGTCAGAGAGCTGCCCCTTCCAGAGACACAAAGCAACAACGTATGGTCAGTTTCTCCTAGACATTTGTCTCTTTCCAGTCAAGTCACAAACGCTCACACAAAACAAAAGCTCCCATTAATTAAGCAATAATGCCCACACAGTAAAACTTTCTGATTTGTAATCTGTACACAACAGGTAGGATTTCCCATGTTCCTGGAAAAAGACACTTCTCATATCTGTCTCTGATTTCATGGTAACTTGAAATAGAGAGCACTCAAGATATGAAAAGACATTTTTTACCCAGAAAATCTTGCAAGAAAAACCTGACACACAGGTATCTGTTACAGTCTGTCACCAGGTATCTGTTGTCTGTTACATTCTATCCCCATGTATCTGTTACATTGTGTCACAAGGTATCTGTTACAGTCTGTCACCAGGTATCTGTTGTCTGTTACATTCTATCCCCATGTATCTGTTACATTGTGTCACCAGGTATCTGTTACATTGTGTCACAAGGTATCTGTTACAGTCTGTCACCAGGTATCTGTTGTCTGTTACATTCTATCCCCATGTATCTGTTACATTGTGTCACAAGGTATCTGTTACAGTCTGTCACCAGGTATCTGTTGTCTGTTACATTCTATCCCCATGTATCTGTTACATAGTATCACCAGGTATCTGTTACACTCTGTCCCAAGGTATCTTGTATCTGCTACACTCTATTCCCAGGTATCATCAGGTATCAGGTATCTGCTACACTCTCTCCCCGGGTATCTGCGAGTCTTTGCCGTCCGTGTTCTCGGAGACGGAATGTTTCCCCAGCTCCATATCGCGGACCAGGTTGACCATGGGCACCTTGCGCTGGTAATAGCGCTCGACGAGGGGCAGGAAGTACAACATGGCACCGCTCACCGCGATCAGGATGCCCATCACGATGAAGGAAATGTCGTAACTTCCTGTCCAGTCACACAGCCAGCCTGGGGGTGTAGACAAACAGGTCTGTTATTGCTTGATCATCTACTCTCTTCCTCTCCTCTCCCTTTTTCTCTTCCCCTCTCCTCTCCTCTCTCTTTTTCTCTTCCCCTCTCCTATTCTCTCTCCTTTTCTCTTTTCCTCTCCTCTCCTATCCTCTCTCCTTTTCTTTTATGTGTTTGTTACTCTCTTGTAACACCTCTAATCTTCGGCACTTCTTAAATGACCTTATTGTGTTGCAAGTGCCGTAAAACTCTTACTAAAACTAAATATCCTTTACTCTTCTTCTCTCCTCCTCTCCTCTCTCTTTTTCTCTCCTCCTTCCCCCCCCCTCTTTCCTTCCCTCCCTCCCGCCACACCCTCCTCACCTGCGATGGGTGGTCCAATGAAGGTGGCCGCCCCCTGGAAGAGCAACAAAAGGCCGAACGAGTTGGTCAGGTACTCCAGACCCAAGAGGTCAACCAGAACTACGGAGGTCAAGGACACGTACACACCTGGGGACGCACAGAGAGGTGGGGACTGTTAGAATGTACATACACACACACACACACACACACATACACACACACACACACACACACACACACACACACACACACATACAGACACACACACACACACACACACAGACACACACACACACACTCACACACACACACACACACAGGCGGGAACCGCTAGAATGTACATACATACACACATATATACCCACCTGGACACACACACACACACACACACACAGGCAGGGGACTGCTAGAATGTACATACATACACACATATATTCACACCTGGACACACACACACACACACACACACACACACACACACACACAGTACATTAAATGTACATTGTGAACTTTGAGTTTGATACCTGGCATTGTATCATTCTTGTGAGCTCTCCAGTTTTATATTTTAATTTTAATATTATTTCTGCATTTTTGAAAACTGAAAATGTATGTGAAAGTTCCTTCATGTGTGCAAAAGAATAAAGATGGAAGTGTATTTAAAAAAAAAATTATTTTAAAAATATAAAATATATGTATATGTGTGTGATACCGAACTCAGCATCATAAGCGACCAGACAGACAGACAGACAGAGAGACAGAGAGACAGACAGACAGACAGACAGACAGACAGACAGACAGACAGACAGACAGACAGAGAGCTCACCTATAAAGATACCAAACACAGCAGCATAGGTGACCAGCAGCGCATAGTCACTGGCGGCGAGCGGGCTAAGCGCGGTAGCCACGCCACAGATGGTAAGCGCGGTGTTGTAGAGCATCAGGCGGTTGACCCAGGGCCGGTCCGAGAGGAAGCCAAAGATGACGCGCCCCGCCGTGTTGGCGATCCCGATGACGGAGATGAGCATAGTGGCCCGGTCCTTGTCTATGCCGGCGAGGATAGCTCTGAGGGGAAATTGGGGAACATTGGGGTGTACGGCTTCAAATCAAGAGGAAGACCAAGAAAGACCTGGCTGGATGAGGTCAAAAAGGTCCTGGAACAACACATTCTATCACAGACGCTACACACCTAGCACAGGACCGAAACCTGCACCTCCCCTCCACATCACAAGGATACCAGAGGAAGGGAAACGTAAGTAAAAGTACGGGGGGGGGGGGGGCATTTAGCAAAATTTTGTATATTATATATTTTTGGGTAAGTGTTTTAAGGCGCCCGCAACTGCATAACGTCTTATGAGCGTGTGCGTGTGTATGTGGGACACATTCAACATTTTCATTTGGTAGGAAATTTTGAATTTTGCCCGGGTGGCGGCCGAAGCGTACTCTTATCGATTTTGGACCACCAAGGGTTCTTTAACGTGCTCAACTTGCACACGGGACCTCCAAAAATTTTCACCCTTGTCCGAGAAGGCTAGGCGTAGATCTTTCCTACCAGAAGATCAGGGGTGTGGCTGAAAGACAGCAGTAAGAAGGAGCCAAGGAATAGCAGTAGAAAGGCTGCAGAAAGAGTCAAAGCCCAGAGGAGGGGGCAAAGGAGGTGAGGGGGTGGGGGCAGAAAGTGGAGACGAAAGCAGACGACAGGACATTGTTACACAGCAGGAAAGGAGGTGAAAGGAGAACATTTTAGAGAAGAAACTTTTCCGTCACTATCAGGATTTGAACCCAGGAGCTATTGAATGTGAGGCGAACACCTTAAGCTGTAGGTCACAAGATAGATAGGTCCTACAGTAGTTACAACTACAACAACAACTATAATAATAATAATAATAATAATAATAATAATAATAATAATAATAATAATAATAATAATAATAATAAAGATGATGATGATGATTATATTAATGATAATGATATTGTTAATGATGATAATGATAATGATAATAATAATAAAAATTTCATGATAATACTATTATTATCAATAATAATGATAATATTGATATTGTTAATAATGATAATAATAATAATATTATTAATATAATAAAAATAAATAAATAATAATGATGATGATGATGATGATGATGATGATGATGATGATGATGATGATGATGATGATGATGATAATAATGATAATGATATTGTTAATAATGATAATGATAATAATAATTTTTTAAACATAGAAGAAGAAGCTAGCAGCACAGGATGACGGTTGGAGAGAAAGAAGGTGGCCAAGAACACTTTGAAAACAACACTACAGGTCCTGGTTAATGAACATCGTAAGTCCAACACTGGCTTCTTCTTCTTGTTCCTTCTTCTCCGTTCTCTTCTTCTTCTTTCTCTTTTTGTTCTTGTTCTAATCGTCTTCTTCTTCTTCTTATTCCTTCTTCTTCTTCTTCTTCTTCTTCTTCTTCTTCTTCTTCTTCTTCTTCTCCTTCTCCTTCTCCTTCTCCTTCTTCTTCTTGTAATTATTCCACTATTTTCTATTGCACTCACCTGTCAGGAAGGAAGATAAAAGGCATATTGAATCCTATACTCGTAAAGAAATTGGACACGGCGAACATGAGAAACACGGGGTTCTTGAGCAGCTCTGTGGACAGCATGTCCCTCATGGTCGTCCGGAACTCCTCGGAGAAATTGAAACACAGGCACGATACTCCCCCCTCCCCCTCTCCTTTCCCCGCTCCTCCTCCTCTCTCCTCCCTGGGCCGGATGTGCTCGTGAGACAGGGAGGTGGACACCGTGGTCTTGTACACGTCCGGTTGTGAGCGGTACATGGGGATGTTGAGCAGACTGCCGCTGTAGAAGATGTCTTTGCGCGTGAGCGGCGAGAGCGTGTTGGAGCTGCCCCCGTGGTGGTGGCGGCCCTGCTGCTGGGAGGGGTGGATGTGACGTTGTCTCACGGCCGTAGACCCGGCACCCCCGCCGCCCGCGCCGTCTGAGGGAGAGAGCGCGGAGAACTTGTTGAGGGCACCCTCCGACCGCACCATGTTGGCGATCTCGCTGACGGAGTCCGTGTCGGCGGGGACCAGGCTCTGGCTCGCGGTCAGTCTCCGGACCTCTTCCACCCCCAGGGACAGGGGCAGACTGCCGGGTGTGGTCACTGTCTCCACCAGACTGTTCATCCGCACCATCTCTGACGGCGGGCTGGCCACGTCACTGCGGTCATCCTGCAGGCTGGACACAGACACTGCGCGCGGGCCTACCACGTCGCTTCCGGTGTCCGGCTTGCCACTGAGCAGCACAGCCTTGCCGTTGGGCAGCGCGTGCCGCTGTTGTAGCGAGTGGATGATCTCTAGCCCCTGGGCTGCCGTGAATCTGTTCCCGTCCTCGCCCTCCCCTCGTCGCCGGCTCGGGTCTAAGTCTTTCTCCACCAGCACCTGTATCTGGCCAATCCCCGCCCCTCCCCCACCACCACCACTCTTAGCGCCCCCTGGCGGCGGTGGTGTGGTGGCGGTATCACTGTCCCCCGTGGCTCCACTCGTCCCCAGCAGTCTCTCCTCCTCCGTGCTGGACGCCGCAGACGAGAGTGACGCAGATCCCGCGCCACGCTTCCCGCCAGAACCAGGCGACGCCTCCAGGGGCCGGAAGAGGATCCCGCAGACGATGACGTTGAGGATGACCCCGCCCAGGATGAGCATGGCGCCCTGCCACTGGTACTCAACCACCAGCATCTCCGTGAGCGGCGCCATGAACATAGTACCGAACCCAGACCCGCACACAGCCAGGCCCGTGGCGAAGGAGCGATACTTCTCGAAGTACTGAGCCACACACACGATGGCGGGCAGGTAGATGAGGCCGAATCCTACACCTGGGGGGAGAGAGACAGGTGTGGTGATATGTGGGGGTGTGTGGGTGTGTGTGGGGTGTGTGGGGGGAGAGAGAGAAGTACTGAGCCACACACACGATGGCGGGGAGGTAGATGAGGCCAAATCCTACATCTGGGGGGGAGAGAGATAGGTGTTGTGGAAAGAAAGAGCGGGATAGGGAGA